TTAGGTTCTCTAGACAGACACAAATCCCTGCCTGCATGGAGTTTCTGTTCTGGTAGGAAACCAAAGATAACATATAGAAAAGTAAACCAGTGGTTAGTGGAGAAATACAAAGCAAGGCAAGGATATAAACAGAGAATGGCAATCTAGTCTGACTTGCCGAGCTGCTGTGACAGATATTAAATATAATGAGTCTTTTCCTTTCCCACAGGATTTCCCCTGATACAGTCTGAATAGGACTCAGAGGCTACTATCGTTTGGACATAACTGTTTTTCAAAGAAGGCTATGAAACACTGCCAAGCAAGACTACAACCACTGTTTTAAAAATTCACTGTTAGTTAAATTTTACAGCTCTTAAGAGCCCAACTGGGAAACAGGGCATAGCTGGGGGACAGAAAGAGGGAGGAGAAAGACATGGAGTCAGACAGAGGACAGGGACGAAAACAAACTGTACAGAATGTCACTGACAAGGTGGCACCCCATGTGGCTTTAGGCACCTTGACGCTGATACCTCCTAAGGCGGCCTCCGACTGCCCCCTTGTGGCTGCTAACGTGCCTTCTTGGTCAGACCAAAAACCAAACTGTTGTTGGGTAAGTGCCATAGAGATGATTCTGATCCATAGCGACCCTGTATAGCGTTTCCGAGGAGCCACTGGTGAGCTTAAACTGCCAACCTTGCAGTTCAAACGGCTTTGCAGTCTGGCACATTAACCCACAGCGCCACACCAGGACTCCCCAAACCTAAACTGGGTATAGGTGATTTCCACTCATAATGACCCTCCAGGGTTTGTTTCTACGGCTGTCATCTTTATGGAGGCAGATCGCTACATCTTTCTTCCGCGGAACAGCTGGTGAATTCAAAGCGCCAATCTTTGTGTTAGTGGCCGAGGCCTTAACCACTGAGCACTTTAACCACTGTGCCATTAGGGATCCTCTTCAGAGGTAACACACACTCTTCCCTGAAAATGATACAGGGCCCTTTATTATACATCTCTATTGCGATGCACTTTCCTGCCCTGCGGCCTCTTGTGGGTCCCTATCACGAACGAGTGGCAATTTGGCAACAGGAGACGGTCTCCAATCTATGACGGGAAGAATCAGGGTTTCATCCCAGGGCCTTCGGAACAGCACCTGGAAGTTTCGAGTCCAAGGCCCACCGTCCCCTGGAAACTGGCAGGAGTCTTCTTGAGCGGACCTGGAAATGATGCCAGCATGGGCCCAGCAGACACTGGTCACCCCCTAGGGGTACAGACACCGGCCCTGTTCTCAGAAAGCTGCCCGGGGCAGAAACTGTCACACCACAGATGGATGGAAGGGACCTAACGTGAAGGAAGGGACCTAACGTGAAGGAAGCGCAGGAGCCAAGAGAGGGTTCTGGGAGGAAGGAAGAGCTCAGGAACCCCGGCAGAACGAGGGCAAAACGCAGTCTAGGTGGAGGGAGCGGCATGGTATGGCCACGTTATCCGTGAATGGGTCCCAAGTCCCCATGCTTCAGGGAGGAAGGCGAAAACATGGGGCATTTAGAACCTTCAGGGATCTGAGAGCCGTGAGAACCAGCCACCCGAGTCATCGTCGCCATGTGTCACATCCCCGAGTTCTCGCGAGGCCCAAACATTCTCATAAGCCCCTTGATGGAGCCTCAGTGCCTTTGTCATGCTGCTCTCGCGGCACCTCTTGCCTCCCTTTCCTTGCGAGGCCCATACACGATGACAAACCAGCCGAGCAGTAGCCTCACCTCGCTGTCCTCGCGTATCCTGCACGTGCTCAGAAGCCTGTGTAGCAGGTCTCACTTCACTGTTCTCGCGACACTTGCATGAGCTCAGGATTCCCCACCCCCACCCCACAGGGTACGCGCAGGCGCAAAGCCGGACCAGACGCTTGGACAGCCGTTAGGGGTCGCTACAGGCCGGGCGGCGGCCCAGGGATGCAACGTCCGCTCTGCTTGTGTGGGCTGCAGCTCGGGCTCCTGCTGCTTCTATTCTCCTTTGAGCTGAGCGGCGCTTCTAGGCCCAAGAAGCTCTGCGGCAGGCACCTGCTGATGGCGATCATAAAGCTCTGTGGCCTGGAGGACTGGAGCAATTTGGAGGAGAACATTCATCACTGGCAGCTGGTGCCCCGCGCTGTGGACGCCGTGGGAACTTTCCTCCCAGCCCGGTTGCCAAGCTCCAGAGGGTCGGCGGGCTGCAGAGACTCACAGCCAGGTACAGATCGCACCCAAGGCATATTTGCCCACGCCTACACTTGTCATCCCCAGGAAATTCACAGCACACAATTGAAACAAACGAGACCAGGATGTATTGTGGGCACACACAGTCTCTGTGACTCTTTTCTCCTTTTTTCCCTAGAAGAAATAAGTGTACACATAGCAGCTTCTCCCTTGGCTTCCGCTGGCTGCAGTACCCATGTCACTCGGCAGACTTCCTTTTGCCCTTTCCAAGCCCAACTTAAGCAGTCATCGCTGGTCCTTTCCTAGCTCAGCACCGGCCTCACTGTTACCATAGTAGCTGGAACATTCGTCTATGTGACTGTCATCAAAACCAACCCTGGTGTTATGAGTCCATTTTTATCCATGTGTACAACTGCTCCAGAGGAGTTTCTGGGCTGTAATCTTTGGTTCTGTCGGATAAGCACTGGACTTGTAACTCAACGTGGGCAGTTCAAACCCACCAGTTGCACCTCAGTAGAAAGATGAGACTTTCTGCTCCTATAAAGATTTACCGCCCTGGAAACCCAGGGTTTCTCTGAGTCGATTCTGACTCAGTGGCAGTGGGTTTAGTTCTTGGCTTTTATCTTTAGGAAATCACTTTCCAGGATTTTCTTCCGACCACCAAACATAGGTTCGTAGTCGAGCACATTGTAGCCAGGGACAAAACCATTTCTACCAAACCCTGATTGTCATCAGAACCAACTGTATAATTTGCAGGGTCCAGTAAAAACTGAAGACCATAGAAGAATTGATGCATTTGAGTTATCATGTTGGAGACAAATATTAAAAGAAAAACAAACCAATTTGTGTTGGAAGAAATACAACCAAAATGCTTCTTAGGCCGGGATGGCCAGACTTTGTCTCTCATACTTGGGGCATATTATTAGAGGAACCAGTCCCTGGAGGACATGGTGTTAGGTAAAGGAAAGGTCAGCAGCAGAGAGGAAGACCCCCAATGGGATCGATTGGCATCACGGCAGCAGCAATGGGTTCAAGCATAGCAACAATTGTGAGGTTGACCCAGGACCTGGGAGTGTTTCATTCTGCTGTACATCGGGTCACTATGAGTCGGAACCAACTTGACGGCACCTAACAATAACAACAACAGTGCAAAATGAAAGCACAAGATTCCTTGCTGAAAATCAGGAAAGGTCCATGAAAACTATCAAAACATGAAGATTTTGAGGAAGTTTAGTGTAAGAATATGCGAGGGAAAATAGAATCCCCACTGAATAGTTTTCAGCTAGTCTAGATGGGTCTGGTGAAAAGAGATGGGGATACGATTCTGATGATTCAATGTTGTTCTTGTTATGTGTCGTGGAGTCGGTTAGAGTAATTGTTATCATAACTAATTGCAACTGTCGAAACTGTAAAGGTAGAAGTTTTATAATGTAAATGGGGGAGTAGTTAATCTTACAGTCCAGAAACAGAGGACCCTAGGATCATCAAGAGAGAAGAGCACAGCAGAATGTGGGACCCTATCTAAAGAAGCAGTAACACCACAGATGGAGGCAGAGATGGGAACATGGAGAGAGGGAGCAGCTGAGGACTGTAGACTCATGGAAAGAGAGGGACTGGGTGCTAGCGGCCAAGAGGCAGACTTGCAAAATGTGCCTTTTGGTGTTTAAATTACTATATATTCCTGAGTGTTTTTGTGTATACCTCCCTAACCCCCACCCAAAAAAAACAAACAGTGGGAATGGAAGCAAATACTGGTGAATGATGATGCATGGAGGAGATTGTAATCATTGCAATGAGACGATGGTGTAAAGCTGATGTTCTCCCATGTAAACTCACTCAGTCCAGTATTTAAAAAATAATAAAAATAAAAACAAAGACTTTTCCTTTGTTCTGAGTATGCATTCTGCTCACATGAATGAGCCCTTGTCCCATCAGCTGTCATTTACAATGATCATGCACTTATACTGTACGTGCGAGTTCAAAATAAAAATATTGAGACATGCAGAGCAGCAACAACAGGGCATTAAACCAGTTGCAGGGTCCTTGTAAGCACTGGGCCTATTCTACTGCATAGGTCTACCTCCTTCCCATAAAGTCAGCCCTGTACATCACCCTAATTATAGGGGCTTTGTGAGGCAGGTCTTTTATCTGAAATGCTGAGCTAAGGCCCCACTGCATAAAACTCAACAACCCCACAGGAATGAGTAGAACTGAGACTTAAGGTTTCTGAGAACTTAAATCTTTACAGAAACAAACAGCTTCATCTTTCTCCTCCCTACCACATACATCCAAAACACCCACTGCCATTGAGCCGATTCCGATTCTTTAGCGACCCTACATAGGGTTTCCAAAACTATAAACTTTTATGCAAGCAGGCAGCCTCCTCTTTCTCCTTCAGAGCAGCTGGTGTCTGGCCATGGACGGTCTGTCAGAGGAGGTTTGCCTGTTGCAGATGTTGAATCAGCAGAACTTCCAAACTAAAACTAGAAGAAAGGTCTGGTGGTATACTTCTGAAACTCGAGCACAGAAGACCCTAGACCACAATGCCCCTATCTGCAGTCGATCATAGGGGCTGATGTAGGATTGGGGATCATGAGGTTCTGTTGTGCATGGGATCGCACGAGCATGGTACAGCTCAACAGCAGCTAACAACCATGGCAATGTCCTTATGGCTTTTAAGCAGTATTTAGGAAGCATATTCTTGTTTCAGATCCATCAGTATCTTCCAACTGTGTTTCTACATTTGTGACTAACACATTTTAGTCCCAATATGGTCTACTATTTTAAGAGAAATACACACTATGTATGGCCTATTAAGCACTGGACTGCTTGGTATTTCAAACCTACCAGTTGCTCCTCAGAAACCCTATACAGGGTCACTGTGAGTCAGAACTGACTCAACCACACTTAACAACAACAGCATAGTAGGGGGCCTGGTGTGGTGCTGTAGGATAAATGCTGGACTGCTAACTTCAAGGTCAGTGGTTCAAACCCACCAGCAGCTGCTCCTTGTAAACACTACACAAGGTTACTATGAGTCTGAACCGACGTGACAGCACTTAACAACTACAACAACAATAGAATAGTAGGGAGTGCTAGTTGCACACTGAGTTAAGCATCTGGCTGCTAACATCAAGGTTGACAGTTCAGGCCTAGCACTCATTCTGCAAGAGGAAGATGAGGTCCTCTGCTCCCATAAAGATTTGCAGTCTTGGATACCATCTGTAGCCATTTGACTCTGCCCAATGGGGTTGTTATGAGGCAGAATGGACTTGATGGCAGTCAGTGGGTGGTTAATAGCCTGGTGTTCTTGTTAGGGGTGGTCAGGTTAGCTCGGACTCATAGAGAGCCTATGGACAGTGAAACAATCACTTCCTGGTCTACTGTCCTCAGAATGGTTTTATGGTTGAGCCCATGGCTGTAGCCATGTGTCGGTCCATCTTGTTGGGGGCTTCCTCTTTTTCACTTCGTAGACCAAGCATGATCTCATTTTCCAGTGATGGGTCCATCCTGATATCACACCCAAAGTACGTGAAACTAAGTCTTGTCATCCTTACTTCTGACTGTACTTCTTCCAAGACAGATTTGTTCATTCTTCTGGCAGTCCATGGTGTATTCAATATTCTTCGCCAACACCATAACTCAAAAGCATCAATTTGTCCCTTTTCACTGTCCAACTTTCGCATGCATATGGGGTGATTAAAAATACCATGGCTTGGGTCAGGCGCACCTTAGTCCTCAAAGTGACATCCTTGCTCTATGACACTTTAAAGGGGTCTTGTGCAGATTTCCCAGTGCAATATGTTATTTAATTTCTTGACTACTGCTTCCATGAGTGTTGACTGTGGATCCAAGCAAAATGAAACTCTTGTCTTCTCTCTGTTTATCATGATGTTGTTAACAACACAGTATTACTGAAAAGCACTGCCTTTTTTTTTTTAAACCTTTTGTGAATTGAGTGAAGGTTTACAGATAAGATCATCAGCTTTGCATTCAACAAATTAGTCACATTGTTTCATCTCAGTGATTACAGTCCCCTCCCTGCAGCAACATTATCCCACTTCCTCCCTGTGGTTCCCTATTTACCTCTTATATTTCACAAATGAACAAAGCAAAAATATTTGATGTACCTTTTAAAGTAATTCAGTTGATTTGATTTGAACAGATCTTACAGAAGTCAAGATTCCTAAAACTAAGGAAAGGCATGCATGTCAGAAAGAGTCCCTCAGTAGATGACTGCACGTTTTGTTGTAATATTTGGCTTTATCTTCTCGAGCTGATCTTGGAAATTTTCTGTTCAGCTCTTTTACCTCCTCATTTCTTCCATTTGCTTTAGCATCTCTACGCTGGAGAAGAATTGATGCTTTTGAGTTATGGTGTTGGAGGAGAATGTTGAAAGTGTCA